GGACTTTTTTTGTGTGTGTGCGGGGGGGTGGGGGGGGGTGGGGAAGGCTTGTGCACCCACCCACCTGTGTAGAGTCTCTCCTACCTCCTTTTGCAAATGTCCCTGCACCACTTTTAGCACAGGTTCCCTGTGCCAGTCTGGCTGTAGCCTCACCCTCTAAACTCTGCCCGGGTGGGGTGGCCACAGAGGGAGTCCCATCTCCAGATTCCTAACTTGCAATATTTTCCTTTACATCGTGATTTTTTTCACTTGCAAATGCAGGAAACTGACTTTCTGGACTTTATGGTAGATCCAGAGGTCCAGTATTCTGTGAGCACTGCTTCTGTGGATTTTCAATCCACCCCACATGGAGCCTTCCCTACCTGGCTTTCTCTACTGCTGCCCAAACTAGAACTATTCCCTATTTTTATGAATCAAAGATAAATATAACTGCGTGTGCAGTATGATAACATTCTCGATATGAACAACCCCATAATATATCATCTGGGGACTCCCAAGAGCCTAGAAACACCAATATTAACAATGACAATATTATTAATTAGATTACTCCATTGGCACTTAATATTGACCACATTTGTTCTGTCAAAGAGTAAAACTCAGACTTGGAAACATTTAAAAAGAGATGTATTGACAGTACCAATAAACTGAGGAGGCTCCTTAGAAGCAAGGATGCTGAGACTGTCTCTCCTACTTCAGACATGCTGTTAGGAGGGATCAGCCCCTGGAGAAGGAAAAGTGGAGGGTCAGTGAAAAGAGGAAGATCCCCTCAATGAAATGGATTTGCACAGTGGCGGCCACAATGGGCTCAAACATAACAACTATTGTGAGGCTGACTGGCCAGTGTTTGATTCTGTTGTGCATAGGGTTACTATAAGTTGGAACCGACTCAGTGGCACCTAACAACAAAGACAGCTGTGCCACAGAGTAACAAGGATTTAGAAAGGCAAAAACCACAGGCAACTGGGATATAGCTACAGCTATCTTATTGACTGCATTTGTCTGTAGGCAGCTGGGGTATAGCTAAACTCATCTTCATTGGTTGATCATTGATTTGGTTGGAAAGGGTGAAGGAATAGTACAGAATATTATAAGGATCAGAATAGCATTTTTTTTCCTAGGAGAACTGTTGGTAAGACTATGAACACACCATTGGGAAAGATCAATTGTTAGAAAAGTACATCACAGTTGGTAAAGTAGAGGATCAGCAAAGATGAGGAAAACGTTGACACGGAACCACTTAAATGGGCTCCAACATAGCAACCATCAGAAAGGTAGCACAAGACAAGGCAATGTTTTGCTATACGAGGAGGTTTCCAAAATTTTATGAAAAATGGAATTAAGAGGCAATGAGTTCTTCCACAAACTTTTTTTTTTTCTTAAATGTTTTATTGTGAATTATGTGATAGTTTACATGGGAGAACATTAGTTTTACATTCATTCTATCATATACCGTCTCACTGCCATGGTTACAATCCCCTCTATACAATCCTTCCCCCGTACTCCCCAGGTCTTCAGCACACAGTCGCTCTCCCTCTCTGGATCTAAAATCTCCAGCTGCTCCATCGCTCCATGTCATCATCTCTGGCTCCATTTCAGGCGTCACTGCTTCTCTGGGTAGGGTCCCGCTCTCTGCTCTTCTCTCTTGAAGGTCCTCAGGACCTCCGTTCCTAGACTGAAAAGTTAATCACTCCCCTCCTTGCTATAAAATGTCTACCTTTACATTTCCAACCCTCACAATCAGTCCTGATGTCAATTACTCGCTATTGTATCACAAGAGACCCGTCTGCATTTCATTGCATCAGCCCTGCCTAGTCAGATTGAATACTACTCACTGGAGATTCTACCTTCCTCCAGGCCCTCTGGATCTAGGTTCCCTCTTGAAAGCTTGTAAGCCAGTCACTTCTTGCCTTTGTAGCCCCCCATCCCCATTTTAGGTAGCCAATGTCCAAGTTGCCCATCCCTGTCTACTCTGTGTGTGGAAGGGGTGGGAATGATTCTTGCTGTAAGGACTTGTTCCCTCTTTTAAGCTACTGCTTCCATAGGTGTAGGTCAAGTTCATCAAATTGTATGAGAATACTTTTTTTTTTTTTTCCTCTTCTTTTTACTTCTGGTTGAGCTCTGATCATCCAGTCATTGAAGCCAGGACAAGTGGGTATTATCTGCAAGTGTGGGTGTTCTTGTGCATATGCCCTCTCTTCTTATCAGCTGGACGCTTCACTCTCCACTCTAGTCTTCTGTGGCTATGTCACTGACTCTGGGCCCGAGAGTCCCCAGGTCTTCACACTGCTGGCCAACCAGCTCTTCACCCAGGTTCACAGAAGTCTATTGAACGTTGTAGGGCTTAGCTCACCGCTTCATTGCTGTTTTTCCCTCACTTCCCCTTATCGGTGTCGAGCGTGTTCACCAATCACAGCAGTATTCCCATTGAGTCTTAGTCTTGGAAGGGGGTTTGCACTGAGGGGACCCAACCACTTGCCTTGATGTTTCCTGGGCAAGCATGTTGCTTATTCTTGTAGTAACAGTCGGTCTGCCTATGTTGTTTTATATTTTTCCTGTAGGTCTTTCTTTCAAGAAGTATCTTCTGTTCTTCTAGCCACTCCAGGTTGGTCTGCTTGTCCTTCCAATCTTCCACAAACTTTTTGAAGCTCCCTCATACATAGGTAACCATGAGTCAGAGCTGACTCAACGGTAACTAAGAACAACAACTATCTCAAAACCTACTACAAAGCCACAGTAATCAAAACAGCCTAGTATTGGTACAATGAAAGACATATAGATCAATGGAATAGAATTGAGACTCTAACAATAAATCCATCTACCTATGTTCAGTTGATCTTTGACAAAGGATCAAAACACATTAAATGTGGAATAGATAATTGGTTGGTTGGTTGGTTATGTGCTGTGGAGTTGGTTCCGACTCATAGTGAGCCTGTACAGGGTTTCCAAGGCTGTAAGTCTTTATGGGAGTAGAAAGCCTCATCTTTCTCCTGCGGAACAGGTGGTAGTTTCAAACTGCTGACCTTGTGGTTCGCAGTCCAATTCGTAACCACTACGCTACCAGAGCTCCTTGGAAGAGATAATAGTGCTGGTAAAATTGGAAATCCATCTGAAGAAGAATGGAGTAAGACCCATATCTCACACCATATATAAAAGCAAACTCAACATGGATTAAAGACCTAAATATAAAACCTAAAAGTGTAAAGATCATCAATGAAAACATAGGGACAAACTTGTTGTTAAATGCCATGGAGTCGGTTCTGACCCATAGCGACACTGTATAAGGTTTCCAAGGAACAGCTGGTGGATTTAAAGCATCTTGTGGTTCAGACTGACTGTGTGGCCCAGTGCTTAGGGGCTCTGATACATGGCATAAATAAACTATCAAACAAAACTGGAAGCATACAAATAGCAGAGGACAAAATAGATGGTTGGGACCTCCTAAACATTAGATTTTTATGTGCATCAAAAGATTTCACCAGAACAATAAAAAGAAAACCTACAGATTGGGAAAATTTTTTGGCAATGACATATCAGACAAGGGGCTATTGTCTAAAATTCAATACCTCAATAAGAAAAAAGACAAATAATACAGTTAGTTAAAAAATGGATAGAGGACATGAACAGACACTCCGCCAAAGAAAACATTCAGGTGGCCAACAAATATGTGAAGAAATGCTAATGATCATTAGTCATTGTTGTTTTTGCTGTTAAGTGCCGTGGACTCAATTCTGACTCATAGTGACTCTATATAGGGTTTCCTAAGAGCAGCAGATGGGTTTGAACCATTGACCTTGTGGTTTGCAGTCCAGTGCTTATCCTACAGTGCCACACCATTAATCATTGTTGTTGTTGTTATTGTTAAGTGCTATTGAGTTGATTCTGACCCATAGCAACCCTTTATAGGGTTTTCCAGGAGCAGCTAGTGAGCTTGAACCACCAACCTTGCAGTTCAAATGACTTCGCAGTCTGACTCATTAGCCCACAGCTCCACACCAGGACTCATTAGAAGGTTGCAAATCAAAACAACAATGAGGTATCATCTTACCCAAACATTAAAAATAAAGTTCAAAAAAACAGAAAACAAAACCAAAGAACAAAGGCGAGCCCTCAACCAGACTGTCAAGAGGTGGTTATAAATACCCCAACAACCTCAACCCTCAGCGGGTAATCTCTGAGGTGGGTGTACTGTCTCCCAGAGGTCACTAGCAGGATTAAACTCTAGTTGCTTCAGTGGCAACTTCCTTGGCACTTCCTGCTGCCTTCCTAATGTTTCCCTTCCCCACTCCTCTACTTGCATTTCCTGGGATCTCACCTGCAAATAAATTTACACTGCAGTTCTGTTCTCAGGGTTTATTTCTGGGGACACCAGAGTAAGATAAATGCTTTTTGCTTACTAGGACATGTTCTTGTCTTTGGTTCTGGCTTTCTGAATGCCCAGGGACTAATAGGGACAGATAGGCCAGGTGTGGCCCAGCCCTGATGGTGTATCCACCACCTTGGCTCTGGACCAGGGAAGATTCTTCCTCCCCATGAAGCCAAATGACAGTTCTGCACACGCATATTAGGAGACAGGTGACATGCCGATGGCAGTAGGTTGCAGGCCTCTGTTGAGGGAAAAGGATAGCCATCCCTGGTTCCAGGAGGCTTCTGATGGGGGTCACAGGAGTAGTGGGGGCAAGTGAGAGTCAGAGTGAAGAGCAGCCCCTGCGTGTGTAACAATAAGAGGCGTCACTTGCGACACGGCAATATGTTGCATCATCATCCCTACATCAACGAAGTGAGGCAAACATCACTGTACTCAATTTAAAAGGAGGACTTAAGCCAGGACAACCTCAGACACCCAGCAAGGAATGGAGGACCCAACAGAAAGGGGTGGACCTGGGAGAGGCGGACCTGGGAGGGACTGCCAGCTGAACAAAAGGCAGGTGCCTGAGGTAGTGCAGATGAGACCTTGGACCCAGGAGCAGCAAACTGAACCCAACCCTGCCAACGTGGGCAGCATGAGTGGAAGAGTAGGTGACTTGAGCCCGTCACAGGAGAAGACACTAGCCCAGGTGAGTCGGGGAGAGCCCTACTCTGGCTGAGCTTCAACTTTTCTGCCCCATGAGGGGTAGGTCTGGTGTCCCTGAGGTCCCTATGAGCTGTGTAGCTCTTGGTCTCTTCCTAACCTTGAGGCACTTAGCAGCCAGAGGTTACACTGGCACCAGCTGATAAAATAAAAACAGTGTATGGAAGCTACATCTATTGTTTAGAATTTTCTAGTAGCCACATTAAAAAAGTAAATTAAAAGAGGTGAAGTGAATTTTAATAATATATAAATGAACCAACAGATCTGTGTTGGAAGAAGTGCAGCCAGAGTACTCCTTGGAGGCCAGAATGGCCAAATTTTGTCTTTCATACTTCTGACATATTGCCAGGAGGGACCAGTCACTGGAAAGGGATATCATGTTTGGTAAGGTGAAAGGTCAGAGAAAAAGAGGAAGACCCCCAGCGAGATGGATTGGCAAAATGGCAGAATCAATGGGCTCAAGCATGGCAACAGTTGTGAGGTTGACCCAGGACCAGGCAGTATTTCGTTCTGTTGGGCATAAGGTCACTATGAGTCGATACCGACCCAATGGCACCTAACAACAACAGATTTTTTGTAACTTAATATGTCCACATTAATTTCATTTCAACATATCCTTGAGATAAAAATTATTATTGAGATGTTATTGCTGAGTCTTTGAAATCCCAAGTGTTTTGTGCATTCACAGCAGATCTGAATTCAGACCAGTTATGAGTCCTGGTGAGATGCTGTAGGACAAGCACTGCACTGTTAACTGTAAGGTTGCTAGTTAAAACCCACCAGCCACTCTTTGGAAACCCTATACAGGGTCGCTACGAGTCGGAACCGACTCGACAGCACTTGACAACAACAATAGTGTTTCAAGTAGGAGTGGCTCCCATACTGGACAGTGTAGATGAGGGTTTGCTGGTGAGGGTGACTCAGTGGCAACCCATGGCCTCAACCACCCCCTGGGGCAGGATGTGTTTTCTTCTCTAACTGGTGAGGAATTCCTCAGGGTGGCATTCTCAGAATCTTTTCCTCTTGGTTCCAAGTGTGGACTCTGAAAGAGTTCAAATGAGGGCGTGACTGGACCATGAAGACCCCAATTCCTACCCCCAGAGGACATTAGGAAGGGGTCACTCCACTCAGGGCAGAAATGAATCCTCTTGCAAGACAACCGGTTTAAGAATTGTGTTGAAATTTGGGCTGAGATAGTCATGTCAGTTCAAGTTTCTTTCCTCACCTGGGAAATAGGTAAAAGAGCAATATCACAACGAAAATATATTATCAGGATTGATCACATGCTTATCCCAGAGTCAAACACTCCTTTGTATGCCTGAAGACAAAGGTTATCAGCGCCTTTAGGGTGGGGTCTGAGAAGGTCCTTTGAATCCTTGTTGACCTAGAGAGAGGAGAAGCGACCCAGGCAAGGCCACCCTAAGAATGCTGACTCCTTGTCTAGTGCCCTTTTCCTGACTGATTCACCAGTGTTTAAGGATGACTTTGGCCCACACTTAGTGACTTCCACCCTTAGGGTCCAGGACCAGCTAAACTACCATAACTCTGGGGCTTGTCTGTGAAGGATCCTCTCCAAGATCTACTCAAACTACCCCTGACTGGTGCCTGAATGACTGGCTCTGGGCCAGATGTGTGGTTGCCTCAAGGCTCTGCCATTCACCTTCTTTGTGTCATTGGGCAAGTTGCTCAACCTCTCTAGCATCACTCGGTGTGCCTCACCCTCCAACCCAACCTGGGTGCTGGGAAGAGGACCTTCTCGACCTCTGTACCCCTGAGTGCAAAGTGAGACTCAGAAAATCTTCCCTATGTTTACTCATCATTTGAGTCTTTCTGAAGCTTTGTGGTGTTAGCTCATTATTATCCCACTTCCGAGGAAGAAAGGAAATGACCATGACTTGCCCAGGGTCTGGCTTTCCCTGCACGTGGGCATTTTGGGGACATCCTTACTCAGACACCAAGTTCCACAAAGGAGATGAGCCTGCAGGCCTGAGGATGGTTGACCATCCCATTGATGGCATCAAGGGCACAGGGGGTCTTAACCTGGGTCTCTGCCCACTCTGTTCTCAGTTCCGGGAGAATATCCAGGATGTCCTGCCTGTCCTGCCCAACCCTGATGACCACTACCTCCTACACTGGCTTCGAGGTGAGGACAGAGGGTCAAGGGCACAATAGAGATGTATATTCAGTATTTATTACTGTGTAAGAAAATACTCCAAAATGCAGCAGTTAAAAATATCCACAAAATTTACTATCTCTCACCATTTCTTTAAGTCAAGAATTATGGAGTGGCTTAGCCGGGTAGTTGTGGCTCAGAGTCTTTCACACAGTCAGATGTCAGCCAGGGCTGTAGTCTCATCTGAAGGTTTGAGTGGGGCTGGAGGCTCTATTTCCAAGATAATCTCATTTATGAATCTGGGAGGTCGGTGCTGGCTGGTGGCTGGAGGCCTCAGTTTCTTCTCACAGAGGCTGCTTGAGTGTCCTTATAACATGGCAGCTGGCTTCCCCCAGAATGAGGGATCCAAAAGAATGAGGAGGAAATGACTTAAAAGTTATTATTTGTCGTTTTTGCAATATCCTGTTGGTTACACAAATCTGTCCTATTCAGTGTGTGTGTGTTGAGGGGTGACTAGGATCATTGGAGGCCATCTCAGAGACTGGCTTCCATAGGAGTACTAATAATTAATATATCTTTTGAGCAGTTACTTTGCACCAGATAATGGATAAAACAAATTTGGCTTTTTTCTTCTTCTTCTTCTTTTCTTTTTCTCACACCAATCTAACGAGGTAAGTACTCTTAACAGCCTTATTTTGCTTGGAGAAAAGTGTGGCTCAAAGAAGCTAAACCACTTGACCAAGATCGCCTAACTTGTAAAGGGCTAAGCCAGGTCAGTCTGACTTTAGAGCCAACTGTTAGATATTTTCCCAGAGAAAGGCTTTAGGGACTAGGATTGTTGTTGTTGAGTACCACCAAGTCAGTTCCAGCTCATAACAAACTTGTATAGGGTTTCTGAGGAGCTGCTGGTGAGCTTGAACTGCCAACCTTGCCGTTCACACTGACCTTGAAGTCCATCTCATTAACTGCAGTGTGCCAAACCAGCAGGGAGAGGGAGGGGTTTACTCTTGAGATAAATATTGAAATCCTAGGAATCTAAATGCACAGACAGGAGAACTTTTCTCAGTGGCCCTAACTCCTACTTCTTCCCCAGAGAATAAGGCTGAACTTGGTTTCCTCTACTGTGAGAAAACCACTATAAAATCAGATTGATTATCACACCTGCCCCAGTGTTTATGGAGTTCTCATATGTCCCTGGACATACAGAGAGAGCCCAGCATACTTAATAACAGTTGGACAGCTTTTGCCGACATTGGAGGGCAGCTTACCCCTGAGCCTGTGGTTTACATAAGTCCAGAAGACTTCCTGGAGTCCTGGTATAGCGCTGTGGGTTAATGCGCTGGACTGCAAAGTCGGTTTGAACCTCAAGATTGGTGGTTCAAGCTCACCAGTTGCACCTCGGACACCCTGTGGCAGGTCGCTATGGGTTAGAACCAACTCGACAACACTTAACAACAACAGCAGGCTTCCTATCCTCAAGGCCTTTACTTGGACAGTTTCCTCCACCGGGAATGTCCTTCCTACTGTCACCGAGTGAGAAGAGATCCTGATGCGTGCAGGCACCACATCTTCCTGGCTCAGGCTTTCTTGGGTTTTGCCTGAGCCCCATAGGGGTGCCTCCTCTCAGGCATGGGCTCTCTGAGTAAGAGGAGGCCAACCCCTCTGGGAGGAACAGGTGGAGTCTCTCTCCAGATGCTTCGGGGATGCTACTGGTACAACCCTGTCCCTTTGTTACAGCTCGGAGCTTTAACCTGCAGGAATCAGAGGCCATGCTTCGGAAGGTGAGAGTGACATCTCCCTAGCTGCACCTCCCCTACTTCCTGTCCCAAGTCTGAAACATTTGTTCATTCATTCACTCATTCATTCATGTGACACTTACTTATTGAGCCCAATAAAGAGCCTGACCCTGTGCAAGGCATTCCTTGATGAGAAGAAAGAGAAGAAGCCAGATAAATGAAGAAACGTTGTTATTGTTAGGTGCTGTCAAGTCGATTCCAACTCATAGTGACCCTCTGCACAACTGCCCGGTCCTGCACCATCCTCACAATTGTTAGGTCTGAGCCCATTGTTGTAGCCAGTGTATCAATCCACCTCATCATACCAAGCATGATGTCTTTCTCCAGGGACACGTTCCTCCTGATTACATGTCCAAAGTACGAGAGATGAAGTCTCACCATCATTACTTCTAAATAAATAGACAGTTCCAGAGAATGGAAAGTACAACACAGGCAGTAAAACAGGAAAAGAAGGGCAACCAGGGGTGCCTTGCTGAGGGGTGACTGGGATGTCATTGCCCACAAAGAGGCGAGCATGTGAAGACCAGTGCAGAGGGCACAGCCAGGGCAAAGGCCCTGGGGCAAGAACCAAGTTGCATGCTTTCCAGGAGCACACACAGGTCCTGTTGTAGAGAAAGGGAGAGATGAGCATCCTGGCAGGACTAGGTTGAGAGTCCGAGAGAGCAGTGTATTGCTCTGCAGAGCTCCCTGGGGCAGCCTGTGAAGTGTGGAGTATAGAGAAAGGGAGGACTTGAAGAGAGACTGCTGCAGATGAGACTCCCTTATTCTCTTCTGAGTCTCTCCCTTCAACCATCTTGGACCCATGTTCCTTCCACCCCCCTTCTGTTCCATCCCCAGTTCTGTGGTGGTGGCTGGGGTAGTCTAGGCAGAAGGGTGCCCCCAGATCCCCACCAAGGCTGTTGGGGCAGATGGGACCTTCAGCTCTGGCTGGGTCTCCGCAGCACGTGGAGTTCCGGAAACAACAAGACTTGGACAACATCCTTTCGTGGCAGCCCCCAGAGGTGAGACCCACTATCCTCTACCATCCCAGGACCCTTTCCTTTAAACCCAGCCCTGCTCCCCGGCCTCTCACGGAGCTTCCTTTCCTGTATGTCCAGGTGATCAGACAGTTCCACGCCAGTGGCATCTGTGGCCATGACCGTGAGGGCAGCCCCATTTGGTACCACATCCTCAGAGACCTGGACCCCAAGGGCCTCCTCAACTCAGTGTCCAAACAGAACCTGCTCAGAGACAAGTTACAGAACTGTGAGCTGCTACTTCAGGACTGTGAGCAGCAAAGTCAAAAGGTGAAGGAGTCAGTCCACTCACACACCATCCTCTGGGCAGTCACCCCCAGAACTAAACCAGAACCCCACCTTCCTGAGTGCCTTTGCTGCTTTTAGTACCACTAGTGGAAGCTGACCTATCTGAGCCTGCCCCAGACCCTGCTCAATTCTGGGCCACGCTGCCTGCTGTGGTCTCTCTCATTTGATGGAGGAAGGCAGGTATCTCAGTGTCACTGGACATAGGTAGAAACTGAAGCACATCAGTTTGCCCTCCCATGGTAGACTCAGGGAGGGAGGGCTTCAGTCCAGTCTGGCCCTGGGGCCCCTTCCCCAAACCTGGTTCCTGGCCTCAGACCTCTGTACCAGGCCTTTGCAGACCAGCCTCACCTTGAGTAGGTATGGGAGATGCTGAGTCTCAGGGGATCTTTCCTCTTTTGTTCCCTTGCAGCTGGGGAAGAAGGTGGATCAAATCTTAGTCATTTTCGATATTGAAGGACTGGGTCTGAGGCATCTATGGAAGCCAGGAGTGGAGTTTGTTCAGGAGGTGAGGTAACTGCCAGGTGGAGCCAGGAGCGGTCTCTGTTCTTCTCTTTGTTAATATGGGGTGGTGGGTGTTCTCTCTCCTCATTGCCAGGTAAGTTCCCACCTACAAGGAAAGCCCTGTTTGCAGCTGCTTACTCCCTGTCTCCAGGAATGTTTGCAAGCCTTCAGTTTCTGAGAGCTGTGCCAACTTAGGCAGCACCTGATGTTACCATCTTCTGCCTGGCAGGTCAAAACCATGCCCCATGGATGCCCTTTCCCTTAACTTACCCATACCTGCTCATGCCCAACCTGGCCTCTGACTCCTCCCCCTTCCCAGTGTATGTGCCTCTGCATGGAGCTCCTAACCCAGGTCTCCTCTGGAAGGGGGCAGGGATCGAGCCAGCTTGGTGAATCCTTCGGTTCCACCCAGGATAGCAAAAACTCCTAATTTTTTTTTTTTTTTAAGTGAAAAAAACAGCCACAAAAATATATCAGTGAAATAAGCAGACTCCCAAGGCCACATATTGTATGATGCCATTTGTCTGAAGTGTCCAGAATAAGCAAACCTATAGAGTAGTGGTGTGATGATGTAGGAAAAGCACTAGATTGCTAACCTAAAGGTTCAAACCTACCAGCCATTCTTGGAAATTCTATACAGGGTCGCTATGAGTCAGAACAGACTTGATGGGACTTAACACAACAACATAGAGACAGAATGTAGGTTAGGGGTTGCCAGGGACTCGGGGAGGGGGATGGATTGGGACCGCTGATGGGTTAATGGGCTCCAGAGGTTTCTTTGGGACTCCTAGTGTGGCGCTGTAGTATCAGCATTGGACTGTGAACCACAAGGTCGGCAGTTTAAAATCACTAATGCACCTCGGAAACCCTATAAAGGGTAGCTATAAGTTGGAACTGACTCAACAGTACTTAACAACAACAATAGAACTTTCTTTTGGGGGTGATGATGAACATATGGTGATGGTCACACAACCTTGTGATTGTACTAAAAACCACTGAATTGTAACTTTAAAACAGTGAATTTTATGGTATGTGAATTATAGCTTAATCAAAGTCAAAAAGGCCATACTTTTCGACCTTGAATCTTGTTAAGCTAACAGGCCTCAGTTCTGATGCTACACTGTTGTCTGAAGTCACATTGGGGAAACTTTGCAGAGTTCTGAATGGGATTTTTCTTGCCGGCATGGGTGGGGTACTCTCTTTTGCTCTCTGGTCAAGAATCTGTGCTGATTGCTTAAGGAGGGTCTGCCCAGTTTCCCAGAGCCACCATTACACAAATACCACAAGTGGGTGACTTGAAAAAACCAGAAATTCATTTTCCCACTGCTTACCCCACTGCTATCAAGTCCATTCTGAGTCCCAGTGACCCTACATAGGAAGGATTTCTGGGACTGTAAATCTCTATGGGGCAGACAGCCTCATCTTTCTCCTGAGGAATAGCTGGTGCATTTGACCCTCCAATCTTTCAGTAAATAGCCCAATGCCTGTACCAGCAGATCTCCTATTCTCATTTTGTTGTTGTCGTTGTGAAGTACCATCAAGTTGGATCTGACTCATAGCGACCCTATGGTTTTCCGAAGAGCAACTGGTGGGTTTGAACTGCCAACCTTGTGGTTCCCAGTCCAGTGCGGATCCTCCAGCACCACACCAAGAGTCCATTCTGACTGTTAGTTGTTGTGAAGTGCCTTCGAGTCAGTTCCGACTCATAGCAACCCAGTATAGGGTTTCCAAGGAGCAGCTGGTGGGTTTGAACTGCCGATCTTGTGATTCGCAGTCCAGGAGTGACTCTAGGGGAAGATCTTTCCTTGTCTATTTCAGCTTGTAGTTCCAGTCCTGGGCTTAGGGATGCTTCTGTATGTCATGCTGCCCCGCCTTCTCCCCAGGTGTATGTGTTTCTGAGTCTCTTCTGCTTTTTTTTTTAATCAATCAGAAGAAATAGGTTTAGGACGCACGCTATTCAGTTGAAAGGAACTCTGATAGTGTAGTGGGTTATGAGCTGGACTGTTAACTAAAGGTCAGCAGTTTGAATTCACCAGCTGCTCTGCAGGAGAAAATAAGACTTTCTGCTCCCATAAAGATTTACAGCCTCAGAAACCTTAAACAGGATCACTGTGAATCAGAACTGACTCCACACACATACTCGAAGTATGCCTTCATTAACATAACAAAAGAAAGCCTCTATTTCCAAACAGGATCACACTCAGTCCAGGGGCCAGGACTTCAATATATATATATTTTAGGGGACACAAGTCAGTTCATAACAGGGTCTGTGACTTGGACACAACAATGTGGAAAGCAATAGATTCTGTCCTTGCCTAGGTGGTTTGTGGGGTGTCCAGGGTATCAGGTAGAACTTCCTTTGTTGGCATCTTGGATGGCTAGCAGCAGAGGCCAGGGTTTCTCTCGGGGACCTTGAGGGTGGGGTAAAATGAGGCAAACATGGGGATAATTGGATGCTTGTAGCTTTTATGTTGACCTGAGTTTGGCTCCAGTTTCTTATTAGACTGGAGGCTAATTACCCGGAGATGTTGAAGAATGTAATTATCGTAAAAGGTGAGTGGTCATCCCAATGTATGCATGAATGGGGTCAGGAATGGCATGAGGGAGCTGAGGAAGGTGTGCTGGGCACTGGGGCCCCAGGAGACCTTCCCGGTCACTGCTGAGGAGGCAGCACTGTGCCCATTTCAGCCCCCAAACTGTTCCCTGTGGCCTTCAACCTGATCAAGTCATACATAAGTGAGGACACGCGCAGGAAACTGGTGATTCTGGGAGGTGAGTGGACCACCACACGGGACATCTGTGAGACTACCCCCCACCCCCACCCCCGAGACAACAATGGTGGTGGTGGAGTGATGTGGGGTTGGGAGATCTGGATTTGAAGCTTGGCTTTGACAGTTATCAGCAGCCCTGTCTGGATCTTCGTTTCCTCGTCTAAAATGGGAGCATTAGACCCAGGGAGCCTTGAGAGAGAATGGAAACAAGGAAAGAGCATGTCCATCCAATGTCTGCCAGCAGGAGGCGTCTAGTCAGTGATTGTTACACTGCTGTGTCTGAATTAAAGCTCCCTCTCTGGAACTTCCCACTAACCCCCTGTATTGGCTTCCTTAACAAATTACCACGAATTTGTTGTGTTTGTTTGATGCTGTTGAATCAGTTCTGACTCATAGCAATCCTATGTACATCAGACCGAAACCACAAATGTAGTGACCACAGAAATTTATTATCTTATTGTTCTGAAGATTTGAAGTCCTAACTGGGTATCAATGGGCTAAAATCAAGATGTCAGTAGGGTTGTACTCCTTTCTGGATGCTCTAAAAGAGAATCTGGTGGCACAGTAAGTTAAGAGTTGGGCTGCGAACTGAAAGGTCAGCAGTTGAAAGATGAGGCTGTCTGTTCTCGTAAAGATTTACAGTCTCAGAAACCCTAAGGAGAAGTTCTACTCTGTCCTATAGGGTCACTAAAGGAGCATAGTGCTTACAAGCCAGGCTGCTAATCTCACGATCAGCAGTTCAAAACTACCAGTGGTTCCATGGGAGAGAGATGAGGCTTTCTACTCCCGTAAAGATTTAAAGCCTCGGAAACCCTATACATGGTCACTATGAGTCGGAACCGACTCCATGGCATATAGCCACCACCAATAGGGTCACTATGAGTTGGAATTAATTCTATGGCAGTGAGTTGTTTGTTTTTGTGTTTTAAGAGGCTGCCCGTGTTCCTTGGCTCATGCCCCCCTCCTCCATCTTCAAATCCAGCAATGACTGGTTGAGTTTTTCTCATGCTGCCTAACTTTAACAATGACTCTCCCAGCACCTTCTTCTACTTTTAAAGACTGCTGTGATTCTATGGGGACCCTCCCATACAATCTAGAATCATCTCCTACTTTAAGGTCAATTTATTAGCAACCTTAATTCCATTTCTGTATAATGTAGCGTATTTATATGTCCCAGGAATTAGGATGTGGGCATCTTTGAGGCCTACCACATCCCCATTATTGCCACACTCTCATACACATTTTCCTAAAATTATACAAGTAATACCTGTGCTCCAGAGTCCTGGTGTGGTACTTTAGGATAGGCACTGGACTAACCACAAGGCTAGTAGTTCAAATCCACCAGCCACTATGAGTCAACAACACTTAACAGCATGTCCTCATGGTCAAAATTTGGAAAATACAGAGATGTATAAAGAAGAAAAAGTCCTGGGCCTCAGAGAACCACTGTTTATATATACTGTCTTTTATGGAGTAACAAATTAAGAAAAAATAAAGAGGGATTCATACCATTTATCCTCTTTTGTAGCTTACTGTATCTGCATAACATATAATAAATGTTTTTCCATTTTGGTAAACATTTTTCCAAGGATTTCATTGTAAGGAGTTATCATAATTCTTTAAATCTTTTAATGTAAATTTGTATTGTCTACTCTGGTAGTGTAGTGGTTACAAGTCAGGCTGCTACCCTCAAGGTCAGCAGTTCGAAACTACTAGCTGTTCCATGGGAGAAAGATGAGGCTTTCTGCTCCCGTAAAGGTTTACAGCCTTGGAAACACTATGATGTGGCATATGAGTTGGAATCAACTCCACGGCACGCCACCACCATAATCTCTTTACTTTTCGGAACAAATCAACAGTGAAGATCTTTATAGATACATTTTTATACACATCCATGATTTTTTTTTCATAGGAGAAATTCCTGGAAATCCTACTGTTTTCCCCAAAGAAAATGTATGTAGTAAGATTCCTGGAACCATTTACAGAGGAGTACTTCACACAGCTGATGCAATCTAACTCCACCAGCTGGACTCCTGGTATAGTACTTACTGTAGGATCAGAAGCGATGGTGGTGGTGGTGTGCTGTGGAGTCGATTCTGACTCAGCAACCCTGCACAAGGTTTCTGAGGCTATAAATCTTTACAGGAGCAGAAAACCTTATCTTTCTCCACTGGACTGCAAACACATCAGCTGCTCCTTGGAAACCCTATACAGGGTCACTTTGAGTGGCAATTGACTCAACAGCACTTAACAACAACAGCTGGATATGAATGTGCTCTCACCAACATTGAATATTAATAACTTAAGACTTCTACTATTTTTATGATGTTGTTTTTGTTGTTAAATGCCATTGAGTCATTTCCAACTCATAGTGACCCTTTATAGGGTTTCTGAGGAATGACTGGTGGGGTTGAATCACCGACCTTGCTGTTCAAACCAACCTTACAGTTCAATGCTTTATCCTACAGAGCCACACCAGGACTCCACTTTTATAATAGAAAGTGATTATTCATTATTGTTTTCATTTAGATTTCTTATATAGCTTTTGACATTGAACTTTTTCCTTTATGCTAACCGACCGTTGTCATTTCTTATGTGTTTGTTGCCTTCTGAAATCTCTTATCCATATTCTAGAAAAGTATTTTTCTTATTGATTTACAAATGCACTTTACATATTAAGCACACTGACTTTTCTGTCGTATTTGTGGCAATCATTTTCCTCAATTTGTAATTTACCGGTTACATTTGATTTTTGACTTAGTGGTAAATTTTTATGCTGTCAGATTTGGGAGTCCTTTCCTTTGATTTCTCCATTATTTTTGAGCTTTGGAAGTCCATTCCCATCCCTGGATATGTTGGGTATGCCCTTTTGCATTCTTCTACTTTGTTGCCTGTGTTCGTTTGTGGACCATCCTTGGCCATCTCAGAAAATTTGATGGGAACTGACTCACATTTGGTCCCTGCAATTCTGAGGGTGACTGGAGCTCCAGAACTCAAAGTTGGGGTGGGGAGGCAGCGCTAACTGGAAAGCTAAGTTCAGCCTTCAAGGGCGTAAGAACCCAAGGTCAGAGGCAGCCTGTCCTCAGCCCCAGGCCCTAGGAATTACTGATCAGAGTTCCTTACCAAGATGGTCCATTCTCCAACCACTTAATGGGTAGCAGGGTGGGGTACAGGGTCTGGAGGGGCAGAGAAAGCCAGGAACGGGTCAACACAGAAACACACACAGAACTCTAAGCCTGGACCTAGAGCTGCTCAGCTTCCATCCTGGGGACAGTTTTGCTCCAGGGAAGGAGTTCCAGGAGCACAGGAGGGCCTCAAGAGCCTCAGAGAGGCACCGGGCTTAACCTTCACACTTCCTGATAAGCCTCCCTGAGTCTCTTGAGGACCCCCTCTTGCCCCTAGTTGGACTCTACACTCACAGGGGAGACCGCAGACCCTAGGTCATGGCCTATGTAGCCACATAAAGTTTTTAGGGCTCAGGGTAGCAAGCCAAGGGCATATCAGGCCTCTCTCTGGGCTCATTCCCACCTCCCCACAGCCAACTGGAAGCAGGAGCTCCTGCAGTACATCAGCCCTGACCAGCTTCCTGTAGTGTTTGGGGGGACCATGACTGACCCCGATGGCAACCCCAAGTGCCTGACCAAGGTAAAGGGTGCCCAGAGGCTGGGGAGAGAGGAGATGGGCAGGTTGTGGTCTAGTGCCTGCTCACAAGCCTCCACCCTCAGATCAACTACGGGGGCGAGGTGCCCAAAAGCTACTACCTACGCAACCAGGTGAAGATGCAGTATGAGCACACGGTACCTGTGGGCCGAAGCTCCTCCCTGCAGGTGGAGAATGAGATCCTGTTCCCAGGCTGTGTGCTCAGGTAGGGACAGCGGCCCCTCCCTGCCTGGGCACAGCTGGGAGAAGCCCTGGGACTGAGGCAGTGTCCTCAGCAGGGATCTGTCCACTGCAGGTGGCAGTTTGCATCAGATGGGGGGGACATCGGTTTTGGTGTCTTCCTGAAGACCAAGACGGGGGAGAAACAGCGGGCAGGCGAGATGACGGAGGTGCTGCCCAGCCAGCGCTACAATGCCCACATGGTGCCCGAGGATGGAAGTCTCACCTGTCTCAAGGCTGGCATCTGTAAGTGTTGGTCAGGAGTAACTCCACCTGGACAAGACACAATTTTCTGTAGCTGCTAGTGGGGAGGGGGATGGTCCTGGATGTTGTATCCAGGCCTCAACAGGTAGCTCAGGTAGGCACAGTGGTAGGCACAGTATGGGGCTGGATCTGGAATTATAGTCATGTAATCCCACCCCCATGGGAGGGTGGGTCCTTAGTAGAGCCCTGTGTCTGAATGTCTGTCTCTCCCTGCAGATGTACTAAGATTTGACAATACCTATAGCCTAATTTACTCCAAACACATCAGCTATACTGTGGAGATTCTGTTTCCAGATCAAACCTTTGTGCAGAAGGTTGAGAAAATCTAGGGTAAGCCTGTGGCTCTCATAACCTCCTCTTTGATCTCTGGGTCCACAATGAATTCACAGGCTTACCTGGCCTGATCCTTTCCAACCTCTTGAGTGACGGGCAATTCTCTAACATTCTATCTCCTCCTCAGGAACTGCCTGGACAGTTACCACAAAGCAACACAAAAATTCTCTCTCCACTAGTCCCTCCTGTGACCTCGAGCTCAGTGACAGCCCCAGGCCTTTTGCTATGAACAAATATCAAGTCACAAGTTACCCGCCCAGCAGTTGTGCAATTGTTGATCTGAATTGAATTCCAACCTTACAGTTTCCCCATCTAGAAAAAAAGATTTAACTCTCTCTCAATTCTGACTTCCAACACATGTGCTTTCCCTCCCAGCACCACGACAGCTGAGAATTTGTTAAGTTTCTGGGTCTCCATTCAAGTCCCTGATGAAGCTTCAGCCTGGGTCTCACACAGAATTGGGCACCAGGTCCCAGAGGCCCACAGGATGACGACCCTTCCATTCAGACTCTAGATCTGGCTATATATCACTGGAGATTTGTCCCAACATTCTAGGCACATATGTTACTCCAGCTTGTTCTCAATTTGGTAACTTCCCTAGTTGGCCACTTTGCCAAAAATCCTGCCCAAAAATTGACAGAGAGGCAGGCTTTAACAGGTCTTAGTCTTGGTGACCTTTCCTAGGCTACTGTTGTTGTGGATTTTTTTTGGTTTTGTTTTTTAATGGAGGTGAAATTTGCATAACTTAAACCATTTTAAAGTGAATCATTGAGTGGCATTCAGAGCATTCACAATATTGTGTAACCACCACCTCTATCAAGTCCCCAGACATTTTCATTCCCCAGAAGGAAACCTGTATCCATTGAACAGTTGTTCTCCACCCACTCCCCAAACCTCTTGAAATCACTAATGCTGTTCTGTCTCTATGAATTTACCTATTCTGACTAAGGAAGTAGAATAAATGGAATCCCATAACACATGACTTTTTGTGTCTGATTTCTTTCACTATGTATAATGTTTTGGAGGTCCGTCTGTCTCAGAGCATGAATCAGAACTTCATTCTTTTTTTTCTTTTAAGGTTTTTATTGTTGATTGAGTGAAAGTTTACAGGGCATATCATCAATTTTACATTCAACAAATCATATACCTTGTTTCATTACAATGATTATAATCTCCTCCATGTACTATCAGTTAACAGTATTTCTCTCACTTTAGCTTTTTAAAAAACACACAAACAAAAAAACCCCACTCAGGCATATATAATAATTTACATCTCCAAAGGCCACATTCTGCAAGTCTGCTCCTGGCCACCATCTCTTAGTCCCTCTCTTCTTAGTCCATGAATCTAGAGTCCTCAGCCGCTCCCCCTCTTCATGCCCCCATCTCTGCCTCCATCTGCTGCTTCTCTGGATAAGGTCTCACATTCTGCTTGTGCATTCCTCTCTTGATGGTCCTAGGGTTCTCTGTTTCTGGACTGAGAAATTTCAAGATGCCACTGTTGGTCATTTTGATGTAATTTAGGATATAATTTTTGGCCTATTTCCTTTTTTGTCTACTTGCCCTGCTCCACAATCCCTGGTCAGGTCTTTTTTCTAGTTATAAACAGTTCAGGGCTGGCTGCGGCCATTTGGTTTTAAGTGGAAACTATCTCTTTAAATTTCGAGGAGATCTGTGCGCATGCGTAGTAGACCCCTCCGAGGGTGGGGCTGGGGTGTCCACTAGCTCAGGAACCCCTATAGTCACCAGAATGGAGGTGCGCAGACAGCAAGGGACCAATGAACAGATACCAAAGGAAAAGAATGTCCACACCTTTACCTTCATGGTTCTGCCAGGCATCTGTGGCCGCTCCGATCCTTCCCCCACTTGGTCTCAGCCAAGATGGCGGCTCCCGGAGCAGCTAAGCATTCCTGAACTAGAAAGCAATGGATTTCTTGCTTCTGCCATAAATTCCCCCAGCCGTAAGCCTTCCAACATTGTAAGTATTCCTTTATATGTGGTTCAGAGTTCTGGGACCATCCCCTGAGCCTGCTTGGTGGGGTATTCTGTGTTTTTGCTGACAGAGCTCCTTACTACACTTCCACCTGATCTGCCATCTTGTTTGTTCCCCAGAACTTCATTCCTTTTTATTATTTTATTATTATTCTGTTTGGTACTGTGAGTAAATGTGCTGGACTGCAAAGTCAGTTTGAACTGCAATGTTTGGTGGTTCAAGTTCATCAGACGTTCCTTGGAAACCCTCTACAGGGTCGCTATGGGTCGGTATCAACTTGACGGCACTTAACAACAACAACAATAATATTCTGTTGTATGTATATCCCACATCTTGTTTATCCATAATCTGTGGATGAACATTTAGATAATTTCTACCTTCTGGATTTTGTGAATGATGCTGCTATGAACATGCATATGCAAGTATTTGTTTGAATCTTTGGGCATATACCTAAAATTGGGATACTTAGGTCTAAGTTCTAGGTTTAACTTTTTGTGAGGAATTGCCAAACTGTTTTCCGCAACAGCTAAAACCATTCTGTCGACAATGCCTGAGGGTTTCAATTCCTCCACATCCTCACACCACTTGCTGTTTTCTGGTTGTATTATACCACTATTTGCACATTGTTGTTATTGTTGACTGCCATTAAGTTGACCCCTGGCTCATGGTGACCCCATATATTACAGAATAGAACTGCTCCAGAGAGTTTCATTGGCTACAGTCTGTCTAGAAGCAGTTCACCAGGATTTATCTTCTGCAGAGGGCTGGGTAGATTTGAACCACTAACCTCTTGGTTAGCATCCATAGCAAACAACTTGCTTTATTTATCTAATCTCCTTATTAGTATCCTGGCAGGTGTGAAGTGGTATCTTATTGTGGTTTTGATTTGCATTTCCCTAATAACCCTGGTAAGGAGCTCTGGTAGCATAGTGGTTACAAATTGGGCTGTGAGCCACAAGGTCAGCAGTTTGAAACTACCAGGTGTTCCATGGGAGAAAGATGAGGCTTTCTGCTCCCATAAAGATTTACAGCCTTGGAAACCCTATGCAGGGTCGCTATGAGTCGGAACCGACTCCATGGCACATAACAACAACAACAACAATGACCCTGGCAGGAGTTCTGGTGAGGTGCTGTGGTTAATGCACTGGACTGCAAAGTCGGTTTGAACTGCAAGATCGGCAATTCAAGCTTACTAGTCGCTCCTTAAAGGAGCTCTGGTAGCATAGTGGTTACGAATCGGGCTGCAAACCTTAAGGTCAGAGGTTCGAAACTACCAGCTGCTCTGCGGGAGAAAGATGAGGCTTTCTACTCCCGTAAAGATTTACACCCTCGGGAACCCTGTACAGGGTCGCTATGGGTCGGAACCGACTCGACAGCACTTAACAACAACAGTCGCTCCTTGGGAATCTTATACAGGGTAGTTATGAGTCAGAACCATCTTGAAGGCACTTAACAACAATGACCCTGATGTGGTGCTGTGGGTTAATACGCTGGACTGCAAGGTCAGCTTGAACTGTGTAGTTGAAGGGTCAAGCTCACCAGCTGCTCCTTGGAAAGTCTATACAGGGTTGCTATGGGTTGGAACCAACTTGAGGGCACTTAACAACAACAACAATGATCAATGGGACTCCTGGTGTGACACTGTAGGATAAGCACTGGACTGCTAGCCACAAACTTGGTGGTTCAAGCCCACCAACTACTCCTCAGAAACCCTACAGAGAGTTGCTATGAGTTGGAACTGACTTGACAACACTTAACAACAACAGTGACCAATGATATTGGACATCTTTTTATGTGTTTATTGGCCAATTGTATATCTTCCTGAGCGAAATGTCTATTCAAGTCCTTTGGCCAATTTTTAATTGTCTGTTTTAATTGTCTTTTTATTATTGAGTTGTGAGAATTAATTATATATTCTGGATCCTAGATCTTATCAGATATCTGGTTTGCAAATATTTTCTCCTATTAATAATGTTCTTTGATCTGCTTTCATCTTTAAGGGCACTCTCGTAATTCACCTCTATTCAACAATCTGTTTCAGAATTTTAACAGTGAGTTTATGCCACTGATTCCAAAATCCACCAGCTGGTTCTTTTCTCACACCCACCACATTTTTCTGTATAGATGAGGGGAATAGAGGGGTGGGGGTGGGTCAGAAAAATACCAAATAGGCTGCAGCATAGTCTGGGAGTGGAGACTACTGCAGAGCCAAGGTGAAGACCAACAGGTCTCCTGGCTCAGGCGTCTCAGCTTACTCAACCCACCCGCAGGTCAGTCCATTTCTAACACTCGTTTTCACCATATTCTCTCTGGGATTAAAGACCAGAGCCCTTGGCCAGATACTGTACATATCCACAACGGCCCCTACTCTAAGGCTCCACTGAAGCCTCATCCCAGCCATCCCCCATTTCTACTCAATCTAGTTCCTTCCTAGAAAACTTGCCTTTCCTGTTTCTTTCACATATTTACTCTTCAGTTCTATGACACAGCACAATCCCATCAGAATTTCCTCAAACAGCAGCAATGGGCTCAAGTGTAACAACAATTGTGAGGAGTCACAGTACGGGGCAGTGTTTTTGTTCTGTTGTGCATAGGGTCGCTATGAGTCAGAACTGATTTGATGGCACCTAACAACAACAACACAGTCCTGGTGTGGCGTTGTGGGTTAATGCGTCAGACTGTAAAAGCCATTTGAACTGCAAGATAGGTGGTTCAAGCTCACCAGCTGCTCCTCGGAAAGCCTATACAGGGTCACTGTGGGTTGGAATCGACTCAACGGCACTTAACAACATGTACAATCCTACCACACCAACTACACTCCCCATATTGCACAACCATCACTACTATCCACTTTCATTTTTTTTTTCCTATCTCACTTTCTGTTTGTTTTTGTTTTTGAACTTCTTCTTTCCTTTTCCTTTATTTGTGGAACGTTTCCAATACTTTGTTCTAATGAGAAAATAAATATACACTGTTTCTCTCGCATTATGTGGCGGGGAAAGAAAG